AAAAAAAAAAAAAAAAAAAAAAAAAAAAAAAACCGAGCACACAGTAAGTAACATTTTTCATTCTTGCATAGGCTTCCAACAGGAAAGAGCGTATAAAATTCTACCTTTCCACCCCTGCAGAATCCACCCGCCGTCCTCCTCACACATGAAATCAGTGTGGTAATCTTTCCTCACCTTAAACTTCACTTCCCTCATAATCTCCTCGTTGAGAGGGAGCTGCCTGAAACAGGCCCTCTGATTCCTTGCTTGCCACTGTCTGTACGTCTCGGGCCTCTCTATCCGCTCTGTCCCCTCGCATGCTATCACATTCATAACCTCCCTCCCGAAGACCTCCCTCTCGTACATCAGCCTGTCCTCATCCTCTCTTGGCAGCGTGGCCTCCATCATGTCAAACAGGGACGAGTAGTGGTACAGCACCTCCCGGAACCTCGATGCGAAAAACGGGGTATTGTACGTCCCGTTCACAACCCCGTGCACGAAAAGGCGGGGCTTCATCCTCTCGATCAACCTGAGAACCGCATCCCGAGGGCTGTTGAGGCCCATGGACTCCTCGGCCACATGCCTCAGCCTGTACATGCAGTTCACCACCAAAAACTCCTCCACCTCAATCCTCAGGTCCTCCATACGGACGTCCTCCCACCTCTTGGCCACCGCCCGGTACTCAAATGGCACACCAAACCTTGCACAGAACTCGGCAAGCCGCCGGCCCGTGCGCTCGACCAGCGCAGCAGGCCTAAGCCCTGGCTGAGGCAAATCGATCCCAGTAATCCTCAGCCGGGGTGGGCCCCCAGGCCGGAGGGAGAGACCGTGTATGATGCAGGGCCACTGGAAGCCCTGCAGAATCCCAAAGTCGATCACGTGAACGGCCCCTGCGGCCCCGACGTGTTTCCCGATCGACTTGTTGGCATAGATATTGGACAGCCGCTGGAAAGGGCAGGCTGACATGTAGGCCCCGTAGGACTGCAGGAGCTTCGAGCCTGGGATCCGTGTCAAAGAAAGAGAGGGTCCCGTCCCCGCCATACGGGCCTCAAGGGCGGTGGCTAAGAAGTGGGCCAGGCGCTCGTTGGGGTCACCGTGGGCCGATGAGTAGCGTCTTATCTGGCGGAGGAGCTCCTCGGTCTGGAAGGTGGAGACCGCAGCCGCACATCGGACAAGAAGGGCCCGGAGGTCGACTACATCACGCGCGGGGGCCCGGGCCCGGTTCTTCTTGGTGGTCCCCTTGGGCCGGCCGCGCCTCACCTGTTTGGACTTCCGGTACATCTTTTTGGTTTGGTCTTCGTCGCTGGCGGACGACTCCTCGGAGTAGTGAGGCGGGGAGGTGGCGTAGAATCTGGGGTTCATCTTGGGGCACAGTAGGGACCTGTCGTATTTATTCCCGATGGGATCGTCATCGTCGTCGTCGTTTGCCAACTGCTTACGGCTCCGCTCTTGGGAATCTTCATCTTCGAGGTGGTGAAGAGTTTTATTAGTCTTGGCGGGGGTGGAGTGGTGGTCGGTGTTGGAGTCGGTGGAGCAGAGTGCTTCGTAGAAGTATTTCTCGGCCGCTTGGAGAGCGGGGCATATGTTGGCAGGCCAGTTATGATCCAAGTCATCGTCTTCCTCCTCTTCCAGCAGCATCTGCTTTATGTAGTCGAAGACTCCGCCGAAATAGTCAGTGGGGCCATCATCTTCTTCGATGATATTGGAATCGCCGCCGCTGCGTGTCTGCGCAGGCCCATCGGCAAAGCCAGGATGATGATGATACGTGCTCCTCTGCCTCATTTGCAAACCATTCATCGATTTTTTTGATTGATTTGACGATGGAATTAAGGAAACACAAATAAGAAGATGATGACAGAAATAACAAGATCTGTTATTGGAATTTGAAAGAGGGAATGAGTACTTTGTAGTTGATTAAAATAAAAAAAAATGCGCGGACAAATAATGGTGAGTAACTCCCTAGATCTGTTTACAACTTCTAAGAAGATCCAAATAAATAATATATTTTTGTGGGCACGACTACCCTCCTGTAAACGAATGGTGTCAGTATGTTATTATGGACCATAAGATGGTAAAAGTTGATAGTGACCCTTAGATTTGGTATACTAACACTGTGCGATGCCTCCAAATAATTATTAGGAGATTTTTCAAGACCTGAAAGATAGGTAAATTATCAATTTGGGCTTGAAAGAGACTTTTTCTTAATTTGGGACCTGAATGTTATAAAACTATCAAATTAAGTCCTACAATTAACAACACTCATAAAACCATTAAATTAAAAGTTAATTTTAAGTTTTAAAATACTAAATTTGAAGAAAAATAAAAGATTGTTGCTTACTCACATAAAATAATAAGTAAACATTTGCATAATATTAAAAAAAAAACATATTTGGTGTTTTAATACTTAAAATTAACTCTCAATTTAATGGTTTTATGAGTGTTGTTAATTGTAGAACTTAATTTGATAGTTTTATAACATTCAGGTCCCGAATTGAGAAAAAAAAATCTTTCAGGCCCCGAATTGATAGTTTACTTATCTTCCGGGCCTTGTATTGGAAAAATTCCTAATTATTATTGACATGCAGGTAACCGACCGATGTCTTAGATCTGAAATGAACCGGTTGAGATGATTTTCGATATGTTTGAACCGCGCTTGAATCGCCACGAACACCAGCAAGTAGACGTGTCCACGGGTCGAACTGGCTCGTGAACCGGTCCTGGCCAGCCCGAACTGGCCCAGAACCGTCCTCCTAAGGGCCGGTTCCTTGACCAAACTGTAGGATTGCGGTTCGGTCCCGGTTCATAAACTTTTAGTTTTTGACCCGTCGGGCCGGGCCGGGTCGCGGGTCACATTGTTTTTTTTTTCTTGGTTGTAAGGGTCGTACTGGCCAGGAACCATCCGAGACCCGCCGGGCCAGTGAACCGGCGGTTCTGGGCCGGTTCTATGAACCGGCCTATAGTTTTTTCGGGCCGGTCACCGATCATAATATTGAGGCCCGTCGACCCGGCGGGCTGCCGGGTCGCAGCCCGATAGTTGGTCACCTCTACCTGCAAGAACTCAATGTCGGAGAGGTTACCGACGTAGAGCCCCCAATGCTTATGTCAGTACCAAGAAAAGAGGGGGAGGTGCTCTGCAGAGAGAGCAGTTTGAAATGTCTATAGAGTGTATAAGTTAGGGTTTAGTCATACCTCATCCCCTAGAAATACCTACCCAGAATGTCCTCGATCAGCCTGCTCGGTCTATCTATATCCTAATCACCTCTAAATCAGATTTGAGTCACATTGAGATTTCATCTTCTCCTCTTAAGATTCTTCCTAATCCGTAAATTTTGCTTAATATTTGGAGTTATGTACTGATATACACCTCGAGTCGCGAGGTATACGAAGTCTTCTCGACGGTGCGGAGGGATGGCTCAAGTGAGGGACTCTCGAGTTCAGACCCAGGAGTTTCCGCCATTAGGATATCACCCTCAATCTCTGGAAGCGCATCTTCCTCTTCTTCAGTCTTGCCCGCGTGGATCTAATAGACATTGATCATGGGCTCATCGACTTGAGGCTCAACGGACTGGATGTGTTCCATTATACCGTCAAGCTGCAGCACCAATTGAGTGTATCCAACCTCAATCTTCTCCAGTTGAGTTGTTTGAGCAGACACACGAGCAAGAACGAGATTGAGTTTTTTGTAAAATGTCAAAGTGTCCTCTCGATGTTTATTTTCCACGAGGAATCGGGGGAAGAATTGTAAACTCGGTCCTCCATAGCTCGAATGTGTTCCTCTAGGTTCTCGATTTCAGCTTCAAGACTTTTCCTTCGGGCTGCTTGGGAGGTCAGAATATCGAGAATCTGATCAAGCTTAGCACCATACTCTGAGGAGTCCACGGAGAACTCATATGATTGCTCGAACAGTAATAGATTCAACAGTTGCTCGTAAGGGAAGGTACATGCCTGGCCATACTCCCATGAACTGTAGTTCGGCACATTATTCCAGTAGTGAGCGTATGAGGATGGGACTGGGTAGCCTGAGTTCATTGAGCTCTTCGGTCAAATGTCCTGCACAAAAGAAACAAAACAACCACACGAAGCTGCAAAAACCGAGACAAAAACAACCAAAAAAAAACAAAGAGAAAAATGAAAAACTTAAAGAAAGAACACAAACGCGAAAAACACAAAATAAAGAGAAACACAAGAAAATAAAATCAACATCAATACCAAATATCATACTTGCCTTCTCCAGAAATAGCGCCAAATTTGTTGTGTACAAATTGTTATTTTTACCGAGTACTGAATCGAAAGATTCGTTCCCTGGGTCGATCTCACGAGGAAGGTGATTCGGAATTTAGAATTGGTGTTGGTAACACACACAAAAAAAAAAAAAAAAAAAAAAAAAAAAAAAAAAAAAAAAAAAACAAATCTAAACACTCTAATCAGAAAGGAGTTTGAATGAATTATTAACTAAAGAATAGTATAAAACAATAATCTACCTAAAAATATGAAAAGATGAAGAAGCTAGGGAATTGGGGATAATTAATTTGAGTTCTTTTCACAAAACCGAGAAATTAATTGTTCAATTCGAGATTGACGCTCTCGCTTAATCATCTAGCGGTTCGCTCCCAATAACTCTTCGTAACAAGGGATTGAACATAGACGAACAAGCTCGAGCATACAATACAGGCCAATTATCACAATCCCAAAAACTTCTCGTAACAAGGGTTAGGTAATCTACAAGCACATATTTCAATCCAAAACCTATATACTATGCAATTACGAAATCATCTACCTCATGCGAGTCTAGGTCTACTACTTCTCCCCTTTCGGTTCTAAAAGTCGCTAATTAAATTAGAAGAGAATTAATCGACTAATCATATAGAATCAACAAACCGTAACTCGACAAATTAACATTCAATTGTTTTCAATTGCAATATCGAAGTGTCACTCTTTGATTATATCAATCAATTAAATAAGAATTCATCAATTCCAAATAAAATTGACTCGCACAAAACGAACAAATCAAGCCCGACATATACGAATTAAACAAGAACAATCATCCCATATCCCTAGCAATCAGAATTAACTACATAAGATAAATTCAACACAAATAATCATCTCTCCCACATCAACCATTATTAATTATAAGAGAAAAAACTTACAATCAATCCAATTCCAAGTGTTGAATTCAAATTACAACCTTAATCCCTAAATAGTAAGAAGAAGAAGAAAAATATAAAAGAAAGATGAAGAGAAGAAGAAAAATGACGAAGAAGAAGAAAGGGAGGAGAAAAGGATTTTTTTCGTGGCGTTCTCGGCCTAAGGTTCTTCACCTGGTCGAGAATTAGATTCTCTACGAAGTCCCGTACGATATATATATATATATGAGAGCAAGAGTCACGGCACGGAGGAGTAGTGGCGCGGCCCGAGGAGAGAGGCTGCCGCGGCGTGAGGTGTTGTCGCGGCGTGAGGTGTTGTCGCGGCGCGACGGAGCATGGTGCAGCGGCGTGGCACATCTGCGCGGCGCGAAGAAGCAAGGTACCGCGGGCATGGGGAAAATCAACACAATACAAAAACAACTAAAACTTAAAATAAAAGAAATTACGCCTAAACTTGTATAATCATAAAATACCTTTCCCCGACACTTAAAACAAAACAATGTCCTCATTGCTTAACCAATAAAAGCATAGGAGAAAGCACGTTAACACACAAACTTATGCGAGAAAATCAAAACGAAACAAACTATATAAACTAAAATGAAGAAAAACACGAAATCACATAAATAGACTAAAAATTAAAAAGAGAAAAAGTGTGCAAACCGAAACTTCATCGAGAATACAAGTATTCGAGAGTAAATTTTTCACGCTCGCTCCTTCCCCTGATAGATATGTCGTGCCTATACAAACCACAAATACTCCAAAACTCCCATTATTCAAACAACATAAATAAACACACAACATAAAATAAAGTAAATAAAAAAGCAGTAAATAACTTGGTTGCCTCCCAAGAAGCGTTTGTTTAACATCATTAGCTTGACTAAACCTGGAATGAAATCATCCTGGGTCTAAGAAAAGATGACGATCATGCCACACCTTTGTATTCTCAAGTATTAACAGCTTTGGCAAAACCGAACAAAGGCGTGCCAACTAAATTCTCGTGGTTGTGTTTATTTGAAATTGAACACAATTTTTAACAATCACCAAGAAAAGAAATAAATCATTACAATCTTTTGCCACACAATCAACCACCGGGAATATAAAAATATCAGTGGAACACATAGAATCAATCCTGGTCATCACAAATGTTATCTCGGATGTGACATTAACTACCTCAAAAGTCGGGACAATGGGCATAAACAAACCCAACTCCCCAAAATGATCACAATCCTCAATAACACGAAATGAACACCCGATAGGCATAGAAACCAAGTCACACCCAACCTCAAGAGTCAAGTCATCAATAAACTCTTCTTTCGGGTACATGACATCACACACCAACTTAGCATTCTCCTCAACACCTTCCACAATTTTATTCTCCTCCTCAAAATCATTCTCCCAAGCACTATCCAATTCGTTAGAATTAACCAACTTATGGATAGACACAACCAACTCCTCAAAAGAATTGTCACCCATGCTATTTACAACATCCACAACCGACTGCACATTCTCATCCTCAACAATAAAATTAGAATACATAGCACTATCACCCAAAGAAAAATTTGACGTACCTTTTGTACAATTCAAGTCCGGTTCGTCAAGAGAAGAAATTTCTTTAATAACCAGCATAAATGTCCTCACTCTTCTCAAGAATTT